CTTTCGATGGGGAATGTTCACCTCCTACAATGACTCGTGAACCTTCATTTGCAGGAGATGACTCAATTTCGGAAGTGGTGAAGTTCTCATCATTCGACGGGGAGAATAAAGAAGCGAATGATGATTTCGATGCTCAATCAAAATTTGAAAAGGTGAATGTTGAACTGGATCCATCTTATGATCCAAATTATCCTCCTCTAACCAAATGGACCAGAGATCATGTGAAAACCCAAGTTATTGGTGAATCGTCTGTAGGTGTCCTTACACGGTCTTAAATCCAAGCGAAGCAAACTGCATTATTCTCTAAAGTAAAATTTTGTATGTTTAATTCGTTCGTATCCAGGATCGAACCCAAAACCGTCAACACTGCTCTTGATCCTTTTGATTGGGTGCAAGCAATGCAAGATGAACTCTATGATTTTAAACGTAAAGGTTTGGAGGCTGATTCCCACTCCACCAGATGCATCAGTTATTGGTTTAAAATGTGTTTTTCACAACAAGTTGGAAAAGGAAGGGAAAATTATAAGGAACAAGGTGAAACTCATGGCTAAGGGTTATTTCTAGGAAGAGGGTATCAACCACGAAGAAACCTTTGCACCCGTTGCAAGGTTGGAATCAGTTTTCATATTCTTGGCATACGCATCACATAAGAACATTGAGGTGTTTCAGATGGATGTTGAATGTGAATTCTTGAATGGAGAATTGGAAGAAACTGTATATGTAGAGCAACATCCTGAGTTTGTTAATGAGAAGTATCCTAATCACTGCTACATTTTGGATAAGGCAGTCTATGGACTTAAGCAAGCTCTGAGAGCCTGGTATCAAAATCTCACTCATTTCCTTAAAATGTATAAATTTAGACAATTTTCAGTTGACCCAACCTTATTGCGTAAGAAAGAGGATGACCACTTGATTATCGTTCAAATTTATGTTGATGACATCATCTTCGGTTCTACTAATCCCAGCTTAACAGCTGAATTCTGAAAGGTGATGAAAACTAAATTTGAGATGAGATCCATGGGTCCTATTAACTTTTTCCTTGGATTGAATATAAGACAGGGACCGGAAAGTATTTTTCATAAATCAGGAAGCATATACGAAGTCTTTGCTATCTAAGTTTAGCATGGTGGGAGACTTTAAAGTGAAGGTTCCAATGGCATTCGGAATGAAACCATCTCTACAAAAACTAGTTGTTGATATGACTCTTTATTGTCAGATGATTGGTTCCTTGATGTATCTTACAACCAGTAGACCATATATTATGTTTTCCATTTGTAATTGTGCAAGTTTCCAAGCAAACCCTCACGAACCTCACATGGTTGCCGTCAAGAATATCTTCAGATACTTGAAACGAACTTCTTCACTATGCATTTGGTATCCTGCTAAATCAGGCTTCTTCGTACATGCATTTTCAGATGCTGACCTTGGGTGATATGGATTAGATAGAAAAAGCACCACTAGAGGATGCCAATTTCTCAATGGAAAACTTTTTAGTTGGCAATCCAAGAAGCAAATGTGTTTTCCCTTGTCAACAGCTGAAGCTGAATATATTGTTGTTGCCTCATGTACATCTCAAGTCATTTGGATTCAAACTCAGCTTCGTGACTATGGCTTAAGCATGAAACGAATCCCTCTAGATTGTGACTCTGAAAGTGCCATTCATATTTGTCACAACCCAGTGCAACACTCAAATACAAAACACATAGCACTGAGGTATCATTTTATCAAGGATCACATAGAAGACGACAATGTTGAAATTCATTTTGTTAGATCATCTGATCAGTTGGCTAACATATTAACAAAGGTGTTACCTAAAACAAAGTTTAGTAGAATCCTTCAAGGCCTAGGATAGATGGAAGTTGAATCTGTTCCAAAACGACTCTCACACACATAATGTCTAACACTACGAATTGGTGCGAACGTTCACAATAGTTTGTAGTCTACTATTCATTTTTAGTCTACTTTAACAATGTGAATCAGTGTGAGCGTTCGTAGTCTATTCTTCATTCGTGGTTCTGATTTTTCAAATATCTTTATGTACATTATGTATATTATTGCTTATCTTTATTCTGTTTTTCAATCTTTTCTGGTTTTAATTCTTTTTTAGAAAATCACAAAAGACAAACATACCTTATTTGTGTTTGTTTTATTTTTTGTTTTACACAAAATTCAAAACCATCAAAAATATCTTAGGAGGATCATGGAATCACAAATTCGTATCAAATCTCAATTCATGTGTAGGAGCGGGTATAACTCTCTTTATCTATGTATTAGCTAAGTGTCCTTAGAAGCATGTTGTTGCATGCTGTCCAAAGCCTCAATAGACTCTATGTGAAGCCTTAATGAATCGAATCTACCATTCGTTTCTTCCAAATTAGGTTGTTAAATTCACATTAGTCATGAGCTACCTTACTTTTCTCATCTTGAGTTAAGAGTTATCTGCTTGGTCAAATTCGAATAGCAGGGGTACATTCACTTCTCATCTTGAGTTCAGAGTTATCTGAGGTTTATGGTTACACAACTTCTGAGTTCATGATCTTAGCTTCATTTACCACAAAGTGATTGAAACCCAAAGTCCAACACACTTACATGAATTGACTGTGAACAATTAAATCTTCTAGATTTTCACCATGGAATTAATGAAAGACACCTTCGTGGTTTGTACAAAGAAATCTCATTTTCTGTTGCAAGATCTTTATGAAGTGCTCTTGAATCAAGTCACTTCTTCCCATAAGATCTAGTTTTTTTTTTTTTTTTGAGATTTCAAAGTTTCGTCTAGTCACTAAGATAATTCCAAGCCTACTCGTTCAACTGACTACACTGGTCACACAAGTACCCCATCCCACATTCGTACTTATATAAAGTTCGTTGTTTGGTTGGAGATTTAGCCACCCATTTATCCAAATTAAGAGAGGCCTTCCAATGTTTCTTATCAAACATTTGATCATATTTCAACGGGAAACCACACAGAAACTTCTTAGTCTCTCTTGACTTCGAAGGAAGAGATCTATGCCCGGGATCAACAGTTTTGTGTCTTTATTGACATCATGAAATTCCTCATATATACTTTGATTTATTTCTTTATATTTGATACTCTTGCATAAAGGTCATTGACATAGTCCAAAAGTCTTATTCGTGGTTCTTAATGCTACTTTCAATTTTGCAATGTAACCTAAGTTTTATAAAAACGAATGTTCATGATGGATGGGTCAAAGAGTATTTAATTGCGAAAGGTGTATGCTGACGCGGCCATTCCTGATGATAAGAATTCAAAAGGGCGTGTGAAAATTTTGAACGAACAATTATTTTTCCACAGTATGATGCACAGGTCTGACATCTATAGTTGTCAAGTCACACTTTATAAGGCGATGTTTCTGTACCCGACGCATCTCTCTCTAGATTTTCCTCACAAATCGAATGGTATATAAAGGTTTTGATTGTTCCTCTCTCATTATTACTTTCAAAATTCTCTCAAAAGATTTATGGAAAACAAAAGCTCTCTAGTATTCATATTCTTCTCCTTCAAGTTCTTAACAATGGCATGTTCATCTTAAAACCTCTCTGTTCAAGATCAGATTGTTCATTCCTCTCTCCTAACTGTCAAACAACACCAGAACATGTTGATTGATTTGGGACCATGTAAGTATGAACCATTCATGCTTCCGATCATCGAGTGTCTATGCTTTCTAAGGCCTATACATTTGCCAACTACATCAAGGAGGAGCAAAAGATCTCCTTTGAGATCCATAACCGTACTACCTCTATCTCTAGCTCTACTTTCTTGGGCTTCCTCAATCTGATGATATGATCAACCCAAAAACCATCTCTAACGTTGCTTTCTTGGAGATGTTCTACCAGATGGGGTACAAAGAAACTTTAACTGTTGTGTCGAAGTTTAGAAAACCAAATCTACCTCCTCAATTGAATGACGTTTTTACTCTGTTGTTCAAAGGTTTCTTTGAAAGGGTGACTGGTCCGAATGTGCCAGTAAGATGTTCATGGCACTCGTGTATGGTCTCTATACATGTCAGAATGTCGACTATGGGTCTATTCTTTGGGCTTAAGTCATTCAAAGCACCCACTCTACCACACGTTACAGTGAGATTTCCTATGCACGTTTCTGGACCATTATTGTTCGCAGGTCAATCGACAAGCTCAATATTCTTTTAATGACTGATGCACTAATGGCAACTTTTTCCACTTTTCATATTACTTAAAACATTGTCTCTGATTCCTCAAAGTATTCTTTCATTGGATCTATTTCGAAAGTTATGTTTCGTGACGTGCCTGCCTTAAGAAAATTCTGGAAGGTTTTTGCAAGCTTACTCCTTCGAGGTTTCGTCCTCTTACTCTAGAAATGCAAGCGACAATTGATGCAGCTGACAAACCCAAGAAATGAGGAAAGGGTGCTAAGAAAGGAGAAAAGAAAACTGCTACTAAGGAAGGTCCATCAGTAACTGCGAAACCTTCACCCAAAAAGTGAAACGCACCTACAACATCTTATACTGCTATCCTAAAAGAAGAAAACATCCTGCTCGCAAACGAAAGTCTCCCACTCCAAGTGAAAGTGAAGGTTCAGACTCTGAGACTGAATCAAATATTCGGATTGAGAAGACCAACCTGTTCACAATGAGGAGGAAGATCATGTTCATAATGAAGAAGATCAAATTTGCAATGAAGAGCCTCCTATTCTCAACGAATGAGAGACTACGAACCTTGAGGTAACCAAAACCTTCAATGACTCTGTTCCTTTTCCTCCTCCTTCTCCTAAAACTACTACTACACCTATTACTATTGCACCCTATCCTCCACCCGTTTCTTCGTCACAATAAACTAGTATTTCTCTTTCTACTCCAATCTTTACTGATTCCACATTCCCACCCACTACTTCATCCACACCTGCAGTCTCAGTCAATGTATCTAATACGGGGGCTAAAACTTCAGGATTTTCAACACATGTTTCACCTCCTATCTCCCCTATCCACACTGATGATCCAGGCATGATATTTGGGGACGATGATGGTAATGACGATATTGGCAGATTCACCAACAATCCATTTCAGATAAGGATTGAAAGTAAAGATGAAGTCGCTATTACGAAATGGCAGCTTCAGTCCCTTCATGAGAAGATTGACCAGCTGCTTCTCGCTTCCAAGGATTCATCTTCTGAAGCTTATTCCAAAGCAGTGGTTGAATCTTTATTCGAACGCACAACGAAGGAACATAAAAGTAATGTTGCGAAGATGAACAAGGCAGTGGCTGATTTTGTGGAAGTCTGCAAGACAATGACCGAAAAAGTCGATAAACTAATTTTTGACACAATTGCTTTTATGGAAGATTACCAATCCACCTACAACAAAAACATCGCCTCTACGAATGAAACTCTATAGAATTTGGGCCCCGTGTTCAAAGTGGAGAAGGATAACTGGCAAGATCTTCGCAAAGGCTTACAAAAGGATCATGAAACGTTTCAAACCTCCATCATTTCACAGATCACAAAACTTCAAGATGATTTGGCGATGGAGAGTAAGGACATGGATGCTCTTGCTGTGAAAATGTAGAAGGTCAAAGTGTTGGGTCTGAAACTGGAAAATGTTAAGAAAAAGGGCAAGGATATGTTATCTGAGAGGGAAGTCATGCGAAGCTGCATTTTAGATGTTACAGGCTTACTCTCAGATATCATTAATATAAGAGACTAAATGATTACCATCATAGTTCGGAAGCATTTAACTTAAAAGTTATGCCCTGTATTTACTATGCTTTACCGAGTGGAAGGTGTTACGCCTCTGAACTCTGATCCAAAACAAGGGGGAGAAGGTGGATCCGGAGTGTCAAGAAAAAAACCTCCTAAGCCCCCAGCCAAACCCATTGTCAAGAAAGAACCTAAGGGAAAGGAAAACTAATTTGTGAAGAGCCTCTAATTGACAATGATGAAGATGAAGAGCTTGATGAAGCTGAGATTAAAAGGCGGAAGGCTCGTGATGCAGAGTTGAATGAAAATCAATGTATTGTCAAGGAGGATGAGGTGAAAGAAAAGGCTGAAAAAGAATCTCAGACTACACTAAAAAACAAAATGCTGCTATTTCCCAAGTAGACCTGAATCAAATCCAGCATGATGCTCTGGATTTGCCCAGCCAGTATTGGTTGGATCTGGATGCATCCTTTGATCTTCAAAATTCTTAAGATTCGCAATTAGATCTTCACATTACTCCTAAGGCTTTCAAGTTTCATGCTTTCGTGAAAGTTGTGAATGCTCCTATCATAGACAGTGGTGCTGATCATATGTTGTTCTCCTTCTACTTGAAGCACATGAACCCCCAATATGAAACTTTTTGTACGAAACAAATTGTTGTTGTGAAAGTCACTGGGCCAATAGAGATTGATAGCCTTTCCAATGCAAAGTTTAAAGTAGCGAGAGGTTCGGATTGTCAGGTCTACAAATTCACAATTGCAGACTTGACCTGTTTAAATCGAGATTGATATCCTTTCCAAGAGAAGTATGAACCTGTTATGTTCCATCTCCAACTAATGATCAAGTCCTACATTCAAGAAGTTGGTGAGATGGATGTGGATATTGCCACCGTTTTGAGGAAAAAGCCTATTGCCATTCCCAAGGAAGCTCTGAAAGACTTTCAAAAACTAAAGACAAGAAGATATACAAGGATAGATGGGTTGTGGCATATCAGTCTAGATAAAGAATTAGAGCTATATTTCGCAAGTATTGCTTCTTTCTCGATGACAAACATTTGTACACTTCTTCTTGTCTGGAATTTATATTGGACTTGGTTACCAAGTGCAAGAACAACCACAAGGACTACATCAAGTGCTTCTCGAAAATGATTTTGTGGTATATTCAGGTTCGCAAAGTGTTGTTGAGCTTCATTCGTAAAATCTATGTAGTAAAGAAGCGCATCACCGGTTGATTGACTATAGCCTCATTTGACGCAAAGGGGGAGATTGTTAAGTATTTAGGTGTTTCATCATTGGGATTTTAGTTTAGTCTTTTGTATTAACGAGTTGGGCCTATCCACTAGTCTTTATTTCTAGGGTTAGAGTATTTATGGTGCATGGATGCATCTTATTTTTTGTTAACTCTGGTTTTTTTAGTTGTAACCCTAATTACGCCTCTATAGTAGCAATTCTTCATAGAGTTCTTCTGAGGCGTAACTTTGAATCACTCAACATAAGTTTGATTACTATTCATGGAGATTTATGTTGTTCATCTACTGTTCATCTGGTTAATTTATTTCGATTCATATATTGTTTGTATTCTATGATTGTATCTGGTTAGTTGCTCAATTCATAAACAATATATTACATCAACATATCTATTCCATCGATTTAGCCTAATGAGTTTTAACTTATATTCATCTGATGTCGTATTTGTCACGAGCCCATTATCACTGTACTCTTCATTTGTCTAAGAATATAAGCCCGTGGATCTATTTCACTATTCATTGATTTGTTCTTACACTTCCATATGGAATCACAATGTTCTGATCTGCAATCATTCATCCTTTGCTTGTTCAATCTTATGTCGATTATGTGTTCCTGTAATTTAATCGATCCAAAATTATGTTTGGGTTTTTCAAAGTTTTGATTACAAGCTATTTCAATCAACTTAAATCTCTTGATGATAGAGTTTGTATTATAGCGTGTTGCTTTTTTTCATTCATTATGTAATCAATCTTTGATTAATCTTGGTGTTACTTGTGTAAGTCTGTGGTTAAATAACCTACTTGTTTCAATCAGTTAGTTTAGGAACCAATTTTTGTGAATGCTTGATCGTTTGTGCTCTCACGATTTCTTTAAAGCAATTGGGTGTTTGGAAATTTCGACTACCAGTGATTAATAGATAAAGATCGGATGAACATAACTGTGTTGAGGTTTTATTGGACAAAATTTTAATGTTTGATCTCATTGGGAAGTGGAAGAGTGATATTAGGAATAATTGAAATAGGAATTTGATCTTAATCGACTTGATTTGAGCAGATGTTCTTGGTAGTTAGTGGAACAAGTCAAAATTGAACTTGTGAATCCTTTGGTACAAACTGTTACACATATGAATGGTTGGAGCTTGACAACCTACGAATGGAATTGAGACATAATTGGGATGAATAGTGGGCTAAAACAAAAAGTCAAAATTGACTGAGAATCAGGGTTAACTATGAACGAATCAGACTTACCTGCAAATGTTTGTTAACCATGATTCATAGCGAATCAGTGCTTGGAGTCGAACTCGGAGCAAGAGGTCACAGTTTCGTGGTTGCCTTTATTCACACTGAACCTGTTAACTGGGTTTCGCACCGATTCTGTAATCATTTAGCTTGGATTCGCAACTCACCGATAGACCTAGTGCTCGGAACGAACCTCGATTCGTGTTTGTATCGGTGTACTCGAAACGAACTTGGATTCGTATGTTTGTGCTTCGAACAAAAGTAAGTGGGAGTTGTTTGATTTGTGATACAATAACAAGCTTCATTAGATAATAATTTGTGGAAGATCACTCAATGATTCACTATTGGTCCCTGCAACTTCAGCAAATTGACACTTTTGGTCCCTGTTGTTTTCACAGCTTGGCTATTATGGACCAATTCCAGAAACTGTTACAAATAAAGGGGAATATTATGCATATTTATTACTTTAATCCTAGAATTCCAGCAAAGTGACAGTTTCAACCCTTTTTTTGAAAAGTTTGCAAATTTGAGAGCTGGTGAACAATTTTGGATTCTTTTTAATACACATATTTTTTTTTCGTGAACAAAAAATTGAGGATTCCATCAAGTATTGGCAGTTTGGAAAGTCGTTTTTTGTGGTAACGTCAAATTTTTTCGACTATTTCGTATTTTATACTTCATCTTTTATATCTATTTTTCGCGAGGGAGCATAGTAATTTTTTTTTATCCATTTAAGATCATTCTCATGACCATTTGAAGGCTTTATAATCACGTATTTGATTATAAATTGGGGGAGAATTCGGTATGACCATTCGAAATTGGATTTGTGAGTTTTCAAATTTGAAAATTTTTGATAAAGCTTGTGATAGAATTATGAAGGTAGCTTTTACAGTACTAGTTCTTCATCGAGCTCTTCTAAAGCTTTTACAGAGAAGTATCCTTTACAATAGCAGTTCTTCATCAAGCTCTTCTGAGGACTTGTTATATCTCCGACTTCTAGTATTTTCTCGATCAAGTGGTGTTATGAATCTTAAAATTTGGGTTGGTACATGATAAATTTTAGTGGCTGATATCATTATCTTATTTGAAGATCATTATGACTTGGAGGGGGAGTTCTTCAAAGACAAGAAGTGATTCGGTTTCTCAATTGTAAAATGGATTTTTATGGTGGGTTTGAATTTATTATAGATATTTGGGATTACATTAGAAAATGAAATTTAAAGACATTACTTCAGTGCTTAGTTCAAATATCATAGAACCCGTTTTTGAAGACTATTGAAGAATAAAGATTCGTGGATTCCTTGAAATATTCCTCATTGCAAGATCATTTCTTATTTGCTATATGCTTGTTTTGGAAGTTGAAGCATTGTCATCCATTTCATACTTTGAGGGGGGAGATTGTAGAATTTCAAAGTACTCTATGGATTATGGCAATGGGCCCCCTTGATGAAGTGTAGGTTAAAACCCAAGAATTTGTCTTTTCCTTATAAATAGTCATGTATTATTCATAATTAGGTTTAAGACTAAAGCAAAATGTAGCCGCCACGTTGTGAGGTTTCTTATGTAGAGTTAGATTATTTAGTCTATTCGAAAAGTGTAATTTATTCCTCTTGTTTTGAATAAATCGAGTGATCATTCGACATATCTTCATATTTGTGTTTGTTCTTATTTTCCGCATCTTTTTCATCAAATCACAATTAGGGTTTTAATCCCAACACCAAGTAGTGTAGCTGATCCCTATATGAGTTATTATAAAAATGCTAATACGACGAGTGGCATGTATGACGTTCTTCAGGCTTCGGAGTGGGAAGACATCTGTCACCCTAGAATCACCGATCTAATTGTAGCGAGCAACTGAGATGCGGGATTGTTAATCCCGTATTGATCAATACACAGTGGTCTCGCTCTCCCTCAAGGAGACTTTGGTTATAATGCAGGACATAAGGAGCATGCAAGGTAGGTATGGTGAAGGAGCATCTCACAAGAGCATCATCAAATTCACAAGAACTATGACTCCTTTTTCTTGTAAAATGAAATAATTATACCTTTGAATAATCATATGGTTCTTTTGAAATGAAAGTGTGGTTTGTGGCTTCCAAACTATACCAATTTTAGTTTATATTGTATGATTGTTGAGACTATTTATATACTCTATTATATAAATATAAAGTTGTTATCTTGTCTAGTGTCAAAATATGAAATCAACATAGTATTTTTAGGTTGGATCCTACCAAATTAGTAAATGACTACAATGTAACCATTTTTACTAGAAAGGCTACATTTTAGTATAAGTTTCCAAAACCTTGTAGTTTTCCAAATCGTACTTTTCCTTATGATGTTTGTAACATATTTTCACAACTAGCAAATTTTAGACCCAACATGGT